CCTTGTACCTTAAAAGTCTTATGAAGAAAATTAAGTTAGATTTTCTATAATAGCAACCTACAAGAACAGATAGGTTAATAAACCTAATTATAAAAGAGTTAAATGTAAATTACACTCACAATAGAATGAAACAAATTGAGATTGTCTATAAATTTCCTTTTATTCCTAAGGCAGAGAATGGTTAGGACTGGATGGGATTAGAACTTCCGGATAACTTGAGACAGTTGTGTACATTAATTTATAAATGTAGCTTAAGAACCAATCTAAAGACATGTACACACACACAGATGTTTTGACCTAGGCATGCCAAAGAATATCAAAATGCACATATATGAGCTCAAAAAAGTAAAAGTTAAGTGTTCACAATTGGTAGTGTAAGAAAAATGATCTTTTCTATCAAAGTATTCGTTACCCTCTTAGATTACTTAAAAATTCCTCAGGTTGCCATCTTAGGTGACTTGCATGTTTAAAGGGTCCTTGCTTCTTCAGGATTCCCATACAACTCCATTGCCCACCAACCTTCACGCCCTAACCCATCCTAAGCCTTTTTGCCAATCAGGAAAGACTGTGAACCTTTGACCTTGGCAAATCCCAGGTGAAGGGCAGGTACAACTGCTTCAGGATACAAGGAGGAGCCACTGTCAGCCATTTGTGCCTGCGTGCTTGCACCCTCTTGATCAAGAGAAATTGCCTTGTCAAGAATTTCTGTCTCGTGTGTGTCTGTTTTCAGCACCAGAAGGTCTTTAATTCCAACAGTAGGAGACAAAGACATACAAAGAAAACACACACAGTGACACAGAAAATAATCACATTAATTCAGAGTGGATTCTTACACCATTTCTTTGTCGTTATCTTTAATAGATTAGTCCTCGAGATTCATAAGTAGTTTTATCTCTAACACAAATACTCTATTCTTTGTCCAGTCCTTAACATTAATATATCAAAAACATGTATAAAAACTATGATAATTCAGAGAATTTTAGTAACAAGTTAGTTCAATTTTCCTAGAGGATGGCAAGATGACATCCCATCCCTAGGGAGTGGCAAGACAGCGCTGAACACACGGTGGCAGCATTTTCTGTGACCACATGGTCTCTCCAGAGGGTCTCTCAAATGCAACACAAAGACATGTTACATGCAACATACAGGCTCAAAATGGCAATCTGTTATAGGCTAAAGGTCCTTCCCCTGGGAACTCTGTCCATGGACTTAGGCTGCTAACGGAAAGACAAAAATTGAAGCAAACTAAGCTGGGGATTTAACATGTTTGTTAGTCTCCTTGGATGTGAATGTCATTTGATATTTATGGAGAATTATCATAGGCTGCAGAACTATTCCTTCTTTGAATATAATGTCCTGTCTTTAGATTTAAAAGCTAATCTAAATTTAGGATTACTAGGGCTAGGGCAAATGTCAGTAAACCTTTTAAGCTTTGAGGGCTTTTTTTGTTGTTGTCCAGTTTACTCCAGGTATTTACAATCAGATCCTGGGTTGCCTCATTAGAGGCTTTGCTATACCTAGAAAGCCAGGAATCTAAATCCTATAGAACCCAGCCATTTACAGATCCATGGTTTGGAAAGGACCTTTAACAAGTTTAGAATCTGACATACTACACTGAGATAAAGAGAACAAGGTTTTCCCTCAGGAAAAAAATAAACTTTTATACAACTTTAACCCTGTAAGCCTTTTGGATAGCATTTAAATTAAATGTTTAAATTAAAGTTTAGACATGTATGTAGCCCACACATTTTTTGGAGAGTTAAGATGTTTTAAAATCACTGAAAAGACAGAAAAGTACATAAACAGATTTTGTTAGGACTCAGTTTCCTACAGAATCAAAAGCCTACAAAATTTCACAATTATCCCGATAAAACATAAACTCTCTCCTATAAGCTAGTTTTTAACAAATATTACTAAGAGCAGAATATCTTTAAGATAGAATTAGATGCTAGATTTAAGTTAATTTACTACATTTTGATTTTAGGAAATGATTCAGATAACCTTTTAAATTATAGCCATATTAATTTACATCATATATTTTGTTACCTTTTGAACATTGAGGTTTTCCCCTTTTATAAAAGTAATTTAACTTTTTAACTTCACTAATCTCTTTAAGGTCAGATAGCCAGGGCCCAGAGGCCATCACAGGAAGCTCTAAAGTTAGCCACTACCTTAACGCCTAATCCAATCTCTACCCAACAGCAATTCACACCCTAAGCATCAACTGTGCCTGGAGCAGGGAGATTTTTCGCAAGTACTCCCAACAAAGACCCAAACTGAGGAGCTAGACAGAACAAAGGCTAGGCATCTCAACAGAAATTCTCTATCAATTCGAGCAGGAACCAACAGATCACTCAATGTCTCTCTTAACAATGACCCAAACTCAGAAAGTCATCCCAGGGGAAAAAGGGTCCAAAGCTTAAGAGTTTCTTAGTAAATATTTTAACCTTAAAATCTGACCCCATTGTTCTCATGTTAGAGACAAGGCCTGAGGCTGGCCAGGTGGGGTGTGCCCCTCACTTGCCAGTGAAGTAGCTATCTCACTGGACAGGTTATGGTGGGGGATGGCCGAGAGGAACCAGACTTAGTGACTGGGGAGACGGCTGCCGTGGCTAGCACGTCTCCTCTGCCTGGGCTGGTGGGCAGAAAGGGAGGAGAGAGAAGGGTGAAGGGGAGGCCACAGTTTTAAGGTGGCTTGACCTGAAGGGAAACCACGGGGTGCAGGAATCTCCGCAAGAGGGTCCTGAGAACTCCAAGCCATGGGGGGAGCATGCTTTGGGTGGACAGATGCCGCAGGGTTCTGCAGGCTGCTCGCCCCCAGTGTGACCCACAGAGAGGTCCTCACATTGAGCGGACAACGGTCCTGGGGACCCTGTGTTTCCCAGCTGCATTCCACGAGGGCAGAGCTCAGCCCATTCCCTTGGCTGTCCAGAAGAAAGAAAAGAAAAAAGAGTAGCGACCCTCTAAGGCACGGGGACTGGGGCTCACCATGTCTCCTGGCTGGCTTTGCCACAAAATGTTAATGGCACTGGTGCAGTCTGTGATCAGAAGACTTCAAATTCTTTGTATCCCATGGGGAAGAACCCATGGCAGGACACATGGGTATAAAGAGAGTTTATTAAAAATTAGGGAAGGAAAATACAAAACGGAGCACAGTGATGCCCAGGTGGAAGCCAGAAGCCGAGAGAGTTTTTCTGCTCCTCAGGTGCTTTTAAAACCTCGGATAACCTGTGGGCAGGGAAGAACTGTGTGATTCCCATCCAATAATCAATGAGTGGGGAGGGGATGGGCGCTTCCCAGCCAGGTGAGGGAGGTTCCTGAGCCAGAGCACGGTGGATCTAAAATGGAGTATTTTTCTATGAGTCTAAATTTCCCTACTTTAGTCTGCTTCAAATTCACATTGCGGGGAATGGAGAGTGTGGGTCCTTTGCGGGTGGTTACAAAGGTGACTGAGTTTATAAGGGAAAAAGAGGATGAGTAGGTCACAGTGCCTTATGCTAGGCAAGTGCTCTGACGCTTGAGGTGCACCGCCAGCATCCTTTTGTTTGTATTTTGTTTCTTAGCTAGTGGCTCCCTGAGTTTGCCCAGGCTGGCCTCCGACTCTTGTGATCCTCCTGCCTCAGCCTCCTGAGTATCTGGGATTACAGGCATACACCATCACACCTTGTCTTAATTTTTATTTTTTGTTTTTGTTTGTCTAATGGTTCCTTTTTTCCTTTTTTTTTTTTTGCTGTCTAGTCAACCTCATGGTCTTCTACTTCTTGGTACAAGCATCGTCATCTTCGTCATCTCCAGCTGCCCCTTTGTTGTAGCCCCCTCAAGCTCTTCTTCATCCAGTCTTCACCGCGGGCTGCTTGTACAAGGTCTTGTTTGAAGGGCTGGCCCTTGGCTGTCTTCTGAGATCTTGACTTTTGGAATGTACCATTGCTGATAAGGGTGAGCTTGTGTAGCTGGGCACCAAATTCCACTGTATCGTAGACTGTAGAAACGATGGGATTTCTGAACTCCCTGGGGAGTCTTGAATGGCTACCACAGTATCTGTGGAGGCAATAGGGGTGCCTCTGCCACCAGCTCTAGGAAAAACCCTGAGAAGTCTCTGAATCTTACATGGGCTTCTCTGGGCAGAAACCCTGACATGTTTCTGTGCAGCTCTCAGTGGTGGGGGAATGTAGGAGGCCTGGACGGGTTTCTCCCATTGTCTACCTACAGTGTCTCTGCCCGGTTGATACTGCATATCCTTTTTGCTGCTACAGCTTAGCCATGGAGACCCTGTGGTCTTTCAAGTGGAGGACCAAGTGTGCAGCTGGGCCTCGGACCCTGACACTGGCAGATAACCCTCAGAGACTCAGCTCTCTGAATTTGTACCCCAATTTCCATTACAGTCCTTAAGACTTTCCGTCATTTTCTTGATAGTATTATCAGGACTTTAATCCTGAAGTTTAGGCACTTTTTCTTCCCAGGGGACAATTATTCTGGGGTTTTATTTCAGTATGTGTTGGATAACCTATGTAAAAAAAATGATTTCTAAAATGATTGTATCTTCGTGTTATATTATCTATTTCTTAATAGTGACAGTCAAAATAAAAACAAAAACCATCAAATTGTCACACATTCACCTCCTTAAATCTGAATTCACAGAGCAGTCCTGGGCCCCTTCAGCCTCCACACCCAGCTGTTTGCTTTCTGGGCCAGGAGTTCTAGACTCAGAGGTTGGAGCCATTGGAGGAGTGTTTTAGGTTTCCTCTTGTTATGTTCCACGCCTGCCCGCAAAGGTCACTCCCTGGAATAACAGGCATGACTCTGGAGGCAATAATGTGAGCATTTATTATCAAATCCCTGCACAGAGGCACAGGAAGGGATCAGGATGGTAAAGAATGAGCAAGAGCTGCTGAAATGGTTGGGTGGAACACGTGGGGAAGGATGAGGAGATATTGGAGTCCCTTTTCTCCCAGGCGTCAGATGCAGGGACACCCCGAGCAGAAGGGGACCAGCATGAGTGTTCAGGAGAGGTAGGGCGACATCCCAGTCACTTCCAGCAGCGTCTTCTGGTCCTTTTCCTAAGGGAGTGGCAGACGCAAGACAACTTTGACAGGAGAGGGCAAATTCCTCCTCCAGGACAGCTTAGCTCTGGAGCTAGGCAGATCCAAAAGTAGCTGCCTGGGGGGTACTGTAGATACCCCTACAGGCCCCGCATAGAGATGGACTTCCTGGCTTCCTGGGGTCTTTGGCCAAGGCCTCGTTGGTTAGGAACAGGGGCTTTCTGAGCTGGTGCAGAAAGGCACACATGGTGCTACCCGAAACTCGTGCAATGTTACTCTGTCCATTCCTGTCTCCTCTGAACAGTCCCAATGCCCCAACACACAGACTCATTTAGGGACTTACCTCTTTAGCAAAACACCTTCTCCAGCAGTAGAGACCAAGAGGACCAGAGATGCCAGAAGCAGCAGGACCCAGACACCTATGACCATGGCCTGGAGACTTATAAATAGGGCCTGGGAACAGAGGGTCATGGGCACCAGAGAAATGGTCACCTTCCTGCCCTTCCCTGGCCTTCACTAACACAGGTCACTCTCCACCCCTCACCTCCAAGTCTGTGTCTTCTGGGGTCATCAGTGCATCCCGTGTGCAGAATGCAACCTGAAACTTGGCCTACTGATCCTCTGTGTCCTGCAGCCTAGCTTGTAGTTTGGCACCCTGACAGCCTCCAGGACTTGAGAGACTCAAGGAAGGGCATGCATTTACCACCTTCTCACCCTCCACACATTTGCCATCTTGGTTCATTCATGGTTAGTATTTAGAGTTTCGTTCCCATGGGTCGGTAACACTCACAACTGTGGGAGCTGCTTCTGCTTTGCTCAGTGCTGTTCTTTAGTGACAGCCATCAGGCTGGGTGAAGATTAGGGCTGAGGATTTCTGATGGAGAGTTTTACCCTTGCCAGTCCTGGTCCTCCCTTCTGCTTCCTGCAGCTGCTCCTTCCCCTTGGTCTCCTACCTTCAGCATGTTTAGGTGGGAAATGCATAGGTGTAGTCTCTCATCTTCTTTGGGATCTGGGGTGCTTGGGGCCTTGGTGAGCCAGCCCATTGAGGTGTAGTCATCACAAAAGTCACTTCTAAAGTTGTAGTAATCACAGAAATTATGAGCCGTAACTACAATGGCGGCAATGGCCGAGCACAAAGTTGCCAGCCCGAGAAGGATCCGCAGCAGGGCCTGGGAGGGGAGGAGGCAGAGGGAAACTCAGGGGTTCCGTCTCTCCCAGAGCCCAAAGTGGGGAAAAGCAGGCAGCATGGAGGTCACATATGGTAGAACAGGAGCCTTGGAGTGGTCTCTACCTGAGTCTGGTTCCCTGCCCTTCCCTACCCTGCCCTGAACTCACCCACCAGATTCCACCGTGCTTCTCAGAAAAAAAGGCAGTGACTCCAGCCAGCAAAGCCTGGGGAGAGATTGAGTAAGGACCAGGTTAGCTCAGGAAATATGGGTCCCCTCCAACTGAGTCCTCTGTACACTCCATCTGCACCCCAGGTTTTGTGCTCAGCTTTGTTGTCTTTGGTAAGATAACTGTGGAGGGTGCTGTGTTCAGAGCAAACTCCTGAGGCCACAGGACACTTTGCTGTAGTGACATAAACAAGTGCTCATGATAAAGCCAGGTATGAGCCCTCTTTCCCTTCTTCACATCCTTCTTTTTCTTCATCCAGCCCTTAGCACAGTGCCTGCTTTTTAAAAATTTTCTCAAACTCTTTTTTTCAGTTTTCCCAGCAGTACTGGGATTTGAACTCAGCACCCTGTGCTTGTTAGGCAGGTGCTCTACTGCTTGAGCCACTCCCCCTCCAATAAATGTGTGTGTGTTTCTATCTTGAGAGTGTGGGTCTGCCAGAGGGTCCCCCACTCCCATCAGCCCACTGAGCTCCTTCTGCAGACTTGCATGCCCTCCTCTGTTGACCTTTATCTCTGGATTCCCATGGGATGAGCAGAGGTCAATGGGAGAACTAGGAGGCCAAGCCCACACTTCCTTCAGGCAGCAAGTTCTCTCTGGCATGTTCTCCCTCCCCTATTTCAGAGCAGGTGTCTGGAGGTGAGTGGGTCCTTAGATCCTTTAATTGTTAACTGCTGTTGACCATGGGGAGTGGGAGCCAGCTTGGTGGGAGAAGTCCTAAACAGGGGACCCAGGGAGCTGACTCTGCTACTGCTTTGGTTCCTTTCTCATCTGCATAAATCATTAGGGTCTTTTTGACTGCTAACATTCTGTGACAGCACATTGATGGTGGGGCTGCAAAGGCAGTAATGAGAGCAATGTCTCTGTCCCTCTGAAAGGAGGTAGATGCTGCCCCACTCACCACAGCCCCCGTCCAGAAGGGAGCTCCCGTTCGCCAGGGTGCAGAGCTCCAAAAGATACCGAAGAATCCTCCCAGGACACAGCTCAGGATCCCCAGCGCAATCTGCACCACCTGAAAGATGAAGGATCTAAAACCTGGTTCCCAGATGCCTGGGCCCAGAGGCATCCCTCTACCTCCAAATCTTAGAGCGGTCAGTCTGTGGACCTGTCACTCTAGGTACCAATGATCAAAACCCTGAGAGGGACAGGGGCTCTGTCACCCCTTTAGTCTACAGTTTGCTTTACCCACAGAAATCAGAGAAAGCCTGATTTCTAATAAAAAGAGAAAAACAGCTTAGTGTCCTACTGAGGCTAGAGGAGAGAGTGTGACCAGCAAGAATTGAAGCCTTCCCTTGGCCTGATTAGGCCTGGAGTGTGCCTTCTGTGGCCACGAGGCAGGCAGCTACCCTCACCCAGGAAGCCACCAGCAGCCGGCTATTGCTCAGGGTGTTGGTGCCTGAGGCAGAGGCTGGGAGCCGTAGTAGGGAGCATCCGGCCAGCAGGAGTTTGGCCAGACCGGACTCCTGGTGGATGTGGATGCTGATGTAGGTGGGCTGCGGGGCCTCAGGTGCCGCCTCACTGCCATCTGCAGTCTCCATGTCCGTGGATGCCTGTCTGTGAGGGAGGACAAGAACACCAGGGAGGAAAGGCTGGCAGAAGTGTTCACAGATTCATTGGATCTGGGAAGTTTAGGGGTCAGTGGGACCCAGGTACACTGAGTGGTCCCTCTGCCAGGACAGCCAGGCCCTGCTGGGGCTTCCCCTACACCCCACATCTACTTTGTACCCCCAGCATCCTCCCATGGCCTAATATCTGCTCACGCACTCCCTACACTGACTTGGCCTCTTCTCTGGGCCTCTTCTCCTCTGAGCCTTCTGACCCCAAGTCAGAACCCAAGCCCCAGAGTTGCACCCTCCACCCCAGACCCTGGGGACTGGCAGCTCTGAAGACCTCCTTCTCCTTGGATGGCCACCAGCACTGACTGCCCACTGCCCCATGAAGGACTAGTGGTAGAGACAGAGGCCAAAGGCCAGGGGCGACCTGGCCTCTTCCTCTCCCATGCTCCTGGAGGCCCAGCCCAGTGTAGCAGCCCCCATCACCCCAGCAAGCTCTGAGGGAGTGAGGTTGTGAGGGGCAGGGTTAGGGGTTGTGGGAAGGGTTGTGCCAGAGGCTCCTGGGCTGGGGGCCCCCTGGGCTGGGGGCCCTGCCTCACCTGCTCTCCTCTGGGGCCCAGGTGAGCAGAGAGTGCGCAGGAGGCTTGGAGGAGCTGGCCACTGAAAGAGAAGGAAGTTGGTCTAGAGCAGGAAAGGGAGGGAGGCTTGGACAGCTGGGGCTGAAGGGATGCTCTGGGGTTTTCCAGAGGAGGTGAGTCACTGGGCACTGGTGAGCCAGCAAGAGAGAAGATAAGAGCAGACATGGAGACAGGAGGGGAGGGGGCACAATTTTGACCACTGAGAAACCCTGGGGAACTGGGAAAGTGTCCACTGCTCCAGCCTCAGCTGGGTCAGGGCTTTTTGAACACCCATGGGCCTGTGCCAAGGATGTGTGTGCCGTGGTGTGTGTGGTCTGAGTGAGTGTGTGTGTGTGCACGCACACTTGTGTGCTTTGTCTAGCAGGCCTGATCATCTACTCCAGAGGGAACCCCCCCTAGTGGGGCCCCACTTTGCCAGATACTGGCTGGGAAATTATAAGCCTGTCTGGCCCCCCCTCCTGCTTTCCTTCCACCCCGTGGGGTTCTCAGTTCCAAGTCAGCTCCTCCCAAGTCCTCCTGGGCCTTCTGTGCCCCAGCTCCATTGCTCTGGAGGACAACAGGTAAGGCAGGGCCCTCCACTGCCCAGGGGGCCCCTTCCCAGGAGTCTCTCTTGGCATAGGATCCTTCTTTTCTGAGACACCTCCAAGTCCAGGAGACTATTTGGCCTCTATTCCTGCTTTTCTGAGGACTGTTTAGGGAGGGGCAGACATGGTAGTCAGAGGATGTGACCCTGAAAATAGTGCTGGGCTGGGGAGGCCTGGGCCTGGCTCTATCCTCCACTTTCATCAGTGCCCCCACCTGCATTCTGAGTGAGGCTGAATGGGGCTTCTTAGAGACTGAGCCCTGAGGTGGATGGCTGTGGTAGGGGACAGGGCACAGCAGCGGTGCTCCTCCCAGCTCTGAGGTACAGGGAGGAGGGATAGGGGATTGTGTCCAGGGCAGAGCCCATGCCTGGAGTGCTGCTGGTGGTGGGCTGCAGTATTTCTGTTGCCTGAGGGTTCAGATCCTGCTCTTCAGAGGAAGTGCAGGGGTTTGGAACAGGGTAGGGGAATTGGTGGGACCCAGGGGTCTGGAGGGGGCTGGAGCCCAATTCATGGTCTGGAATGCCACTCTTTGCTGACTCCCGGCTCCCAAGGAAGGTCCAGAATCCAGGGTGGCCTGAATCTCCTTCTTGTTTCTGCAGAATTGTCAATTGCCTGTTCTTTTTAACTCAAAGGATCCCAGGTGGGTGAAAGAGGAAGATGCTCTGAAGAGTATGTAGAGTACAAATTTTAAAGACTGTGAGAATGCTTAGTACTATTTGATTTAAACTGTTTAACTAGGATGCCCACTAGGATTGCCTATGGAGCCAAGCGAGTTGATTCTAAAGTATGCATGAAAGAGTAATCTAGAAAAGACAGCCATGAAACTTGTGAGGAAAAGATAATGCGAGGGAGTTCTGAAATAGCCCAATTAGATATTGAAAATATTAGCGTAAATTAATTGTACAAAGGGATTTTATTGTGACATTTACAACTTGCATTTAATGTACTTTGATTAAATTCACCCCATCTATGTTACTCTTTTATTTTGGTGGTACTGGGGCTTGAACTCAGGGCCTACACCTTGAACCACTCCACCAGCCCTTTTTTGTGATGGGTTTTTCATTGAGGTTCATAGGCCTCGAGAACTATTTGCTTAGCCTGGCTTTGAACCACAATCCTCCTGATCTCTGCCTCCTGAGTAGCTAGGATTACAGGCGCGAGCCACCTGCACCCAGTTTATGTTACTCTTTCTTAACCACCCTGAATTTCATTGTGAGATGCACATATGTACTTCTATAATATTAACTTCCCAGTTATCCTCTCCTTCTTCCTCCCCCCCAACAGTCTCCCTTTTATAATCATGTCACTATTATTATTTTTAGGTCTAGATTTCACATATGAGCCAAAACATGCGATATTTGTTTTTCGGGACTTGACTTATCTCAATTAACATGATGATCTCCAGTTGCACCCATTTTCCTGCAAATGACATAATTTCATTCTTTATGGCCAAATAATACGCCATTGTATATCTGTACCACATTTTCTTGATCCAGTCATTGGTTGTTGGGCACCCACAGCCCAATTAGATATTAATCTCTATACTAATTAAAGTTACAGTAACGCTGCACAAATCCTTAGACCTGCAATGGGCAGAATCTGAGGGCTAGAGCAGACCTAACTCCTAGGGGAACTTTGTTTTTGCTCAGGGCAGCATTTCAATCATGAGAGAAGGATGATATATTCCTCAGATGGAGGCTATCCTTCAGAAATTAACCATCTGAATAATCACGATGACAATTTGGATCCATATCTTCCAAGTTATGACACTAATTCCAGAAGGATCAACATTTCAAAGTGCACCCTGAGCCAGGGTGGTGGTGGTACATCGCTGTAATCTTAGCTACTTAGGAGGAGAGGCAGGAGGATCTTGAGTTCAAGGCCAGTGTGGCAGGGTTGTTGAGACCCCATCTCAAAAACAACATAAAAACAAAAGAAGTGGGGCATTGCTCAAGTGGTAGAGGACAAGTGTGAGACCTTGGGCTCAGTCCCCAGTGCCAAATGGAAAAGAAAATTGAAAGCACAAAACCACTTAGAAGAAAACACAGGAGGATATTTTATAATTTCAAAATGGGGAAGTCCTTTTATAGCATGTTATGTAACCTAGAAAGCATAAGAAGAGTGAAAACTTTTACACGTAAAACTGCACTTTTAAAGATTAAAAACTTTAAAAATACCAGCAAAGTCAAAACATAAATCTCAAATTATAAAGAAACCTTTGGAATTAATATCACAGTTGGTAATTTTTCAAATATACAAAAACCTCTATGAAGAACAAACCAAACCAAACAAGAAGGACATGGGATATGAAGGTAGAGTTCACCAGAGGACAAATGAAAATGGCTCCTAACACATGAACATGAAAAACTAACCAAGCTCATTCGGAGTAAGAGAACCATGGATTAAAATGATACTGAAGTGGTTCCAGAAAGCAGATCCCTAGCTGTCTGTGGGAGAGGGAGAGTTGTCCTATGTAAAGGCATCAGGGAATTTCTTGTAGTGTAGCTGTGGTTATATACAAGTACGAATTTGTCACAAATCATTGAGCTGAGCATCGAAAATGGAACAATTTCTTGCATTAAATGGATTGAAATCTGCAATGGAATATAATTTCCTCCTCCCCACCCATAAAGTCAAAAAGGGAGAAGTTTGCTGCTGCAGACTCTTGGATTGGGTAGGACAGCTCCATTCCTGGGCGGTGCACCTGCATGTGAATTGCTACCACGTCCATGAAGGGCAGCTGGAAATATCTACTAAGCATGCATGTTTCTGCATTGGCTGACATAGAAAATGACTGGAAACCTGTCACCAAGGGATTGCTTAATTAAATTGTGATGGATTCACACAAGGGAATACTATGCAGTTAGACACACAAGTAAGAGACTTTATGGACTGATGTAGGATGATTCTAAAAACTTCCTTACTTTGAAGTACTAGGGATTCCACACGGAATATGCTTGCGGGGCAAGAGCTGTGCCACTTGAGTCAAGCTTCCAGCCCTTTTGTTTTTAAGATAAGTTCTGGCTAACTTTACCCAGGCTGGTCTTGAATTCAAGATATTCCTGCTCTGTCTCCCAAGTAGCTGGGATAAAAGGTATATGCCACCATCCCTGACTTCTTACATACTTTTATGCATAAAAGATGTCAGTAAAGGATGGTAAGAAACTGGTATTAGTTTCCATGTGGGTGACTGGGAGAAAAAGATAAGAGAGAGGGTTTTAGAGGTAATACCCTTTCATGTCTTTTGAACTTTTTAACTAGTGAAAGTATTAAGTATAAATATATAAACACATGTGTATATACTCTATGTAATAAAAGCATGTACATTAATTCACTAGAATAATTCAGATTCCTTTTTTTGTCCCACCTAAATCGTAGACAAACTGTGTTGGTGTTTTGTAGCTGTGACCAAATTCCCAAGAAAAACAACCTAAAGGTGGAAAGATTCATTTTGGGTCATTATGGTTTCGGTCCCAAATTGTTTGGTTGGATCCATTGCTTTGGACTTGAGGAAGGCAGAACATCATAGCAGAGGGACTATGTAGAAGCTGCTCCTTTCATGGGGGCCAGGAAGATGAGAGAGAGAGAGAGAGAGAGAGAGAGAGAGAGAGAAAGGGACCAGTGACAAGGTGCTCTTCAGTCATCTACTTCCTCCAACTAGGCCCTACCTTCTAAGTTTCCACCTCCCCCTCTCCACATAGCATCACAATCTGAGGACCAAACCTTTGACACATGAGTCTGGGGGACATTACATATTCAAACCCTA